AGGAAATTTTTTTTTGTTTTTTGAGTGGGAGCCTCACTCTGTCGCCCAGACGGGAGTGCGGTGGCTGCTCTGGCCACTGCAGCCTCGAGCCGCTGGGCTCTGGCGATTCTTCCGCCTCCGCCTTCCCAGTAGCTGGAACTATAATTGTGCGCTACCATGCCCAGCTAAGTTTTGATTTATTGTAGAGATGAGGTCTCGCCAAGTTGGCCAGGCGGGTCTCGAACCCGCGGGCTCAGGCAATCCACTCACCTCAGCCTCCCAAAGGTGCGGGATTACAGGCTGAGCCACCGAGCCTGGCTTGCTTTGGCCTCTTCTAACAAAAGGCCTGGGACCAAGCCAGGAGTGCAGCAGGACAAGGCTGGCCTGAAAGTCCCCTTGGAATTTGCCATTTGCCAATTTGATTTTCCATAGATTGTATCCCTCCACCAATCATTCATATTGGAAATGATTGGCTTTTGGAAAGTTACCTAGCCTCAGGATAGCCAGTTACCCACACTTCACCCTGGGCCTCTGGGTCTTCATCTGAGAAATGAAAGGAGTAGAAAAGATAATTTTGAGTTTCTTCTGGCTCTAATACTTGAGAATTTCATAGTCCCTCAATGGTGAAAATCAGATTTTTTGGACACGAGATTAATTAGTTTGTGCACCTCTGTGTATTCTCCCACATTAACCTGCCTCAGGTCACTGTCACCACTATTTCCCAGACGGAAACACGCCAGGCTGGTAAAAGCCTCATGGAATTCCACTAAGAAACGAGACCCAGCCACCTGACCCGTACTCAAGGCTCCCATCTTTCCCTGCGTTCATTTGCTCATTTATTCATCAAACACTTACTGAAGGCCTGTTGCGTGCTGGGTACTAATCTTTAGAACCTGTGGCTCTTTGACCCATCTTCCCTTTCACTCACTTCCTTTGAAAAACCAGGCAGACAATGGTGTAGGAAATGTGTATTTAATCATTCTCTTGAATGGTCAGAACGCTGAAATCCAGTTTTCTATACCAAAATGTAGTACAGTCACGGTGGCCCCAAAGGACCCCAAGGCAGTGATCAACACATAGAATGTGTGTGGGAAGGGTGCTGGAAGCAAAGCGTTCTTTTCCATCAAAACTTCATTCCTCAAGACCTCATTTCAAAGGGTCATTGTCCCTGTTTTCAAAAGTCTCTTTATGTTTCAAGGTCCATATTGCTGTCTTAATTTGCGTTTGGCTGAGGCAGGTTCCGGAAAAGTAAATTCAGTGAGAGAACTTGACATGGAACTTAGGCAGTTCTTGGGCAGACTTGGCTTATAGGGTAGGATGCAGGGGATGAAACTTAGAAGCTCGACAAGCTGAAGGTCATCCCGGCAGGAATCTCCCACAGGCCTTGTCAGCTCTATTCTCTGAAAGCTGTTATCCTGGTTGCCCGACACAGTCAAAGAGTCAGAGTGCCTCTTTGCCAATGCCTGCTTTTAGGAAGCAAACAGATTGGTTTGCTCCCCTCTTTTCTAGATTCTTTGCTGCAGGATTTCTTAACCTTGGCAAAGCTGACATTTGGAACTGGATGACTCTTTGTTATGGGTTGATGCCCTGTACGTGGCAGGATTTTGAACAGCGTCCCTGGGCTCTAGCCACTGGATGCTGGTGGTGCTGTCCTTTCCTCTGCCCCCAAGTTGTGACAACCCAAACTGTCTCCAGACATTGCCAACTGTTCCCTGGGGGGAGAGGGGCCAAGTCACCTTAGCTGAGTCCCACTTCTCTAGAGGCTGTTGGACACCGAGGTCATGGCTATCCGTGCAGAAGAGAAAGCAGAAGCCTCATACCTCGTGGCAACATATGCCACATAGTCTTTTCTGGACCGTTCACGGATGAATACCACCTGAGAAGTAAAATGGCATTTGCTTGTCTGAAAGAAGGTGCTCAGGTGACCTACAAAACTGGTATCACCACCTACTTTGTTGATGCTAAAATTATGACCATTTTTCACATCTTTGGCATTTGTCAGGTGGGAGAAGCAGCCAAGGCACCTTTGGAAGCATCATCATGGAAAATGAATCATTTGACCTGGTACTAAAATGCAGCTACTCTGAGTTGAGACGTGGCAGCTGATTGGTGGCTTCTTATGGTGTCCATTGCAGTTTAATTTGTGAGATGAAAGATGAGGACATTTGTGACCAAAACTTTCCAGAAACTTCCTCAGGGCAACATTATGGCATACCTAACTAGGAATTCAGAGACAAGGGACGTGCACTGTCCCATGCTCTCACCCCCCAGGAGGTTACGAGTCCGGGGAGGTCCCTGAGGCCTGGGGATACACTTGTCTCCACATGCACCCTACTTAGCAGCCTTAAATACGTCTCTAGTTCACACAAATTATCGTCCCAACTTTAATATTTCTTTGAAGATAGATTTATCCTGTTCATAGAGGAGGCTTCTGCTTTTGGCTTCTTTTTGTTCTTGTTCTTATTGGTTCACTCCAGACTCCTAGGTAAGACCTCATTTGCCCCAGAAACATAAAACTAGGTCAGATCTGGTGGTGAAATGGTTTTGTAAATTCCCAGGATTCTGAAAATAACAGTAATAAAATACCGTTATAGTCATTCAGCAAACATTTATTGAGAACCGAGAGTCCCCCACCCCTGTGCATCTCTAGTTTAGAAATGGGCGTATTTTAACATTGTTCAGTTGAGGCCACATGGTCCCATGGGCTGCTGGGGCAAGGGAAATGGCTTGAATCTCTCCTTAAGGGAGTATCGTCTGGGGACAGGCTCAGGGAAGAGACAGGTTCTCAGAGCAAACGGGAACTGAGCCATGAAGCATGGGCAGGCTCCAGAGCAGAGGGGAGAGGTGGCTTCTGCCTCAGAGCCCCACCAGGGAGCGTGTGTGACCCCAACTGTCTGTGATCAGTTGCACTGCATGTCTCAGACTGTGATCTATTCGTGTGATTTTGGAGATCTACTTGACTTAGGGTCATTCCTCTCTGGTGCCAGGGAGAAAGAGTGGGAGCTGGGGCTTCGTGGGTAGCTGTATATCGCCCTATGTGCACCACATGTGAACATCATTCATGACATGTATGTCATGGCTTTTTACAAATAGAAGTCTGCATTTTAAAAAAAATTTATTTATTGTGGAGACGAGGTCTTGCCAAGTTGCCCAACTGGTCTCGAACTCGTGGGCTCAGGCAAACCACTCGCCTCGGCCTCCCAAAGTGCTGGGATTACAGGCTGAGCCACTGAGCCCGGCCTGCATTTTTTTTTAAGCCAGAGTCTCATTCTGTCACCAGGCTGGAGTGCGGTGGCACCATCATGGCTCACCACAGCTTTGACCCCCTGGTCTCCGGTGATTCTTCTGCTCTAGCCTCCAAGTAGCTGGGACTACAAGTGCTCACAACTGCACCCAGCTAATTTTTTTATTTGTAGGGATGAGGTCTTGCTATGTTGTCCAGGCTGGTCTGGAACTACTGGGCTTAAGCAATCCTCCCACCTCAGCCTCTCAAAGTGCTGGATTATAGGCATGAGCCACCTTGCTTGACTAATCCTGCAAATGATCACTCTAAGGGAATACAAGGAAAAGATGAGTCAGCTATACTCTGTAGGTCATAGTATCTCGTTGCAGGTTATTAAACATTCATTTATAGTGTTGTGTGGAACCAAGGAAAGAAGGAAGTATTCCTTCTACTAGTGAGATCCCCAAAAGACAGTTTCCTCAGGGAAATCTCTGACAACTGTGGAGGATTGGAAATGGCTGCAACTAGCGGATTTCCTTACACAGAACTGATGTTGTTCCTTGCATGGCGGTGAAAGCTTGGAAACAAGAGAAAGAACAAAAAAAAAGCAGATCAACCCGCCTTTGCCTGCCCCGGAGGACTTAACAGTGCAGGCACGGAAGATATGTGCCTTAGAGAGTGCAAGATATGAGGGATACATGCATGCCAGGAGGTGGCAAAATTCAAAGCCTCTCAGGAAAGGGAGCCAGGTGCTTAGGAGGCATCAAGCTTTCCTGCAATGACTGGAGGAAGGAGTGGATGTGAATTGCCATAGAATGGAGGAGGTATCCAGGACAGGGCAATGAGAGAGGGAGCAGGCGCAGAGCGTGATGGGGGGTCACGGAGAAAAGGGCGCTCCGAGGAGACACCGTGAGAGGGCTGTGGCCGCACAACGGCGGCCTTTAACTTGGACGGTAGAGCCCAGAGCATCACTGTGGGTTCCAGAGCAAAGGCAGGCTGTGGTGAAGATCGTGTTTGAAAGCTTTGATTCTGGTGCCATGTGTTCCGTCGGCTGGAACAGGTAGAGGAAGGAGAAAGTGCAGGGCTTTCCAACGAGCCTGGATGTGAGAGGATAATGAGACAACACAGAGGAAAATGCTGTAGGGGCTGCTGAGAAATTGACATGGAGAGAGGGGAGACCGAAATCGCTCTGAGGCTGAGAGCCTGGAGGCTTGGTGGGGCCGCCACTGAGGCGTGTGGGGTGTTGCCTGGGACCTCACAAGCCCAGTTTTGTGCAAATTTCAGATGCAGAAGAATATCCAGCAGGAAGTGTCCCGACGATAATCGGAGCCAGAGGACTGAAGCAAGACGTCTCAGGGAGGGCTAGTCGGTGTGTCATCTGCCAACTCTCCTGTCTACAGGGGCTGTTGGAGGGGTTCGGGGGAGGCCACATAGGCGAGTGATTCTGGGCATGTCATTACGTTTTAGAAATAACAGTGAAATCCAGGGTAACTAGTCAGGGCTAAATATCTCTTTCACTTCAATAAGGCATTTTGTCTTCATTGATGACTCAGTAAATTAAAAGGTGTTTGAATTCACACAAATATTTGAATTGTATGGAGTTGTCTTTTTATAGGTCTGTCGACAAGTGTGTGCAGTTTGTTAAGCTAACACATGATTACCTTTCCCGACGCTAGTGGAAATAGTGTCACAGCCCTGGCATCTTTAAGTGTTTCTTTCGGTGGCTGATGCTGAAGGTTACCTGACTCACACAGAAGCAGTCTCCCACACTACTTGGGATTCATCTCACCTGTTGTGCCAGTGACTTTGCATGTCTTTGTGCAGCCAAGGCACATTATTTTAGCACCAGGTAAGAGGAGAGAGGCAGAAGTACCCAAATGATGGCAGAGAAAGAAGAGACACATGGAGAAGCCTTTGAGTTCAGCAGCTGTAGGTGACTCCGCCTTTTGATCTCAGAGTCTGTGAAGGGAGAGAAAGAGGTTCAGGGTCATAGAGAAGCTGGATGTCTTCTTCACATGACTGGTTGGCAAAAAAAAAGTATCTGAAAACCAGAACAAGTTGTTCCCAACACAGGCAATGTTGCACCCATTCCTCTACCTCTCTGTCATTGGCTTAAAGGCATCGCTTTTCCTTTCCAAAGGAAGTTCCATTCTGTGGTCTTTCCAGTGGCCACTCAGTCAACGAAAAACTATACCGATATAGAGAGTGTTATTGGCCACACCAATAGCAATGACCTGTCTTTGGCTTCAGACACATTTTCCCTCTCGGCAGGGACCTGTACAGGATGTGTGTCATTAGCTTTCGTCACACCACTAGAAAGTACCGAGGAAGTATTGCTCTAATTTGAAGTCAAGAAAGGTAGAAGGAAAGAAATGAAGTTACACTTCTTTTGCTCTGTTTTCTCCCTAGACAATCCTATCTCGTTTATTTCATTTCAGCTCTGTCTATTACTAGTTGTATGGTTTTAGGCAAGTTGCTCAATAAATATGCTCCAGTTTCATCTATAAAATAGGGATAAAGTAATAATCTACTTCATAGGGTTCTTATGAGGATGGATGAGTTAATACACGTAAAGCACTCACTTAGAACAGTGGCTGGCCCATAGTAAACACTCAATAAATACTAGCTATAGAAGCAATAAGAATAGTAACCCCACTCAAGCCTAATAAGCATTACTTTCATACTGATCGTTTCCAAATCTATCTCCTTACTTAGCTTGAACTCTGTCCTGAGTTCCACATCTGGACTTTCAGTTGCTACTAGATATATGGGTTAAAAACATAATTATTCAGTAAATATTTCTGAGCACTTACTGTTGGGGTGCAAATGGGTCGAATAAATGTCACCCGCTTCCCTAGCTTAGCTCTGAACCAATTAAAGAGAAGGACAGGCCAGGCATAGTGGCTCATGCCTGTAATTCCAGTACTTTGAGAGGCTGAGGCAGGAGGATCACTTGAGCCCAGGAGCTTGAGAACAACCTGGGCAACATAGTGAGACCTAGTCTCTACAACATATTTTTAAAATGAGCGGCGCATGGGGCTACATGCCTGTAAGTCCCAGCTACTTGGGAGGTTGAGGTGGAAGGATCACCAGAGCCAGGAGGTAGAGGCTGCAGTGAGCCATGATTGTACCACTGCCCTCCATTCTGGGTTACAGAGTAAGAACCCGACTCAAAAAAAGAAAAAAAAGTAAGGTAACTGGATGATCAAAATATCGCTTCTACAGCTGAACAATCTATTAGTAAGGAATGGGATTTGCAGACAGGCAAGTGGGCTACAGTCCAGACTTTCCAGCGACAGACAGACCCAGACTGGGGCAGGCTTTGTCCTGTAAGGGCAGATTCTATCCCTGAAAACGGATGGCTTGAAGGAGTAGAGAGGAGCATACATAGATTTCCTGAGAGCCAGTTAAAAAGAAAGGGCAAGCCGGGCTCGGTGGCTCAGCCTGTCATCCCGCGCCTTGGGAGGCTGAGGTGAGTGGATTGCCTGAGCCCGCGGGTTCGAGACCCACCTGGGCAACTTGGCGAGACCGCGTCTCTGCAATAAATAAATAAATAAATAAACTAGCCGGGCATGGTAGCACGCACCTGTAGTTCCAGCTACTGGGAAGGCTGAGGCGGAAGGCTTGCCGGAGCCCGGCAGGTCGAGGCTGTGGTGGCCAGGAGCGGCTGCTGCACTCTAGTCTGGGCGACAGAGTGAGACTCCAACTCAAAAAAAAAAAAAAAAAAAAAAGAAAGGGAAAAGAAAAAGAAGGCGCTGCGCTGGCCGTGCCCAGCTTCTTCCGATGTACCCTCCAGTCAGACACACTCACTCCTCCTCCGCTGGGGAAGAGTGAAAGAGGGAGGGAGAACAGGGCTAAAAAGTGGACGTTGGTGGAGACCCCTTCACAGAAGGAAACATGTGGAGCAGCGATAGAGCATCTCCCCAAAGCCTACCATGTGCTGGGAACTGGGCTGAGCCATGCTGCTCCTGTTTGGGTGTTTTGGTCTGTCATTGTTTTGTTGCTAGTCGCATCACCAACCTCCTGAGCATCCTAAGAAATACCAGCCCCATTTTGATCTGGTATTCCTCTGAACTTTCACATTCGCATCACCAAGGCCTGCGCATTGTTTTGTTCAGGAGACTTTTGATTCTTTGCCTGTTTCTTTCCCATTGCCACTGCCCAGTTAATTCCCTCATGGCTTCTTATCTGAATCACTGCTGTAGATTTCTGACTTCACGGCTTCCTATCCTACCCAAACCATTTTTCTTTTCCTTCAAAATCCCGCTTGAACTCTGCCTGATCCACTGTAGTCACAATTAACAACTTTCCCCCAAAGGCACTAAATTTACACTATAACGGACTTCTTTTATGAAACTTGTGCCGTTCACCTCAGTCTTTCATGGGGCTCAACAGAGTGCTTGAACATACTTGGTGTGTAATAGATGCTCGTTTGAGTCTATATGGCAAGATGTGGTTGCTCCAACATATATATATATATATGTATATTTTTTTCTTTGAGTTGGAGTCTCACCCTGTTGCCCAGGCTGGAGTGCAGTGACACGCTCACGGCCACCACAGCCTCGACCCTCTGCCTTAGCCTTCCAAGTAACTGGAACTACAAGCGTGTGCCACCATGCCTGGCTAATTTATTGATTTATTGTAGAGATAAGGTTTCGTCAGGTTGCCCGGGCTGGTCTCGAACCCACGGGCTCAGGCTCTCCTCTCACCTTGGCCTCCTAAAGTGCTGAGATTGTTTACTTTTTAAAAATTGTAGTAAAAAGCACACAACATAAAATTTACCATCTTGACAATTTTTTAAGTGAACAGTTCAATAGTATTGTGTATCTTCGTATTGTTGTCCAGATCTTTAGAACTTTTTCATTTTTCAAATCTGAAACCCATTAAACAACAAACCCTTTCTCCCATTACCCCTTCACCCTACCCTTAGTAACCACTGTTCTACTTTCTGTTTCCTTGAATTTGCTAGATGATGTGGTATTTCTATGTTTAATTTACTGAGGACCCTTCATACTGTTTTCTATAGCAGTTGCATCTTTACAATCCTACCAACAGTGCATGAGAATTCCAGTTCCTTCATGTCCTCATCAACACTTGTTATTTTCATTCTTTTATTTTTATTTTTATTTTTTTCGAGTTGGAGTCTCACTCTGTAACCCAGACTAGAGTGCAATGGCCGCTCCCAGCCACCGCAGCCTCGACCTGCTGGGCTCTGGCGATCCTTCCGCCTCAGCCTTCGGAGTAGTCGGAATTACAGGCACGCACTACCATGCCCGGCTAGTTTTTTATTTATAGTGGAGATGAGGTCTTGCTAAGTTGCCCAGGTGGGTCTCGAACCCGTGTGCTCAGGTGATCCACTCACCTCAGCCTCCCAAAGCGCTGGGATTACAGGCTGAGCCACCCAGCCCGGCCTTATTTTTTTATGGTAGCCATCCTAATGGGTGTTAGGTGATGTCTCATTGTGGTTTTGATTTGCATTTCTCTGATGATTAATGATATTGAGCATCTTTCTTTCTTTTTGCCATTTGTATATCATTTTTAGATAAATGTCTATTCAAGTCCTTTGCCTCCCTCCCCCTTTTCTTTGAGTTGGAGTCTTACTCTTTTGCCCAGGCTGGAGTGCAGTGGCATGCTCATGGCCACTGCAGCCTCAACCTGCTGGGCTCAGGTGATCCTTCCGCCTTAGCATTCTAAGTAACTGGAACTACAGGCATGCACCATCATGCCCAGCAATTTTTTTGATTTATTGTAAGACACGAGGTCTCACCAAATGGCCCAGGCTGGTCTCAAACCTCTGGGCTCACGCAGTCCTCTCGCATCCTCCTCCCAAAGTGCTGAGATTACAGGCATGAGCCACTGCGCTTGGCTTTTGCCCATTTTTAAATTGGGTTATTTGATTTTTTTGTTGTTGAGTTGTAGAAGTTCTTTATATACTCTGAATATTAATCCCTTATTAAGGGATATGATTTACAAATATTTTCTCCCATTCAGTAGGTCACTTTTTCATATATGTAATTTTATTTTTAAATGGCTATATCATAGTTGTATATACTTTGGGAGTTCATATGTATAATTTTAAATGTGAAAATTTGATGAGGATATACTTTATGATGCTAAGTTGAGCAAACATTTATAGGGTACTTATGATGTGTAGGATATTTTCTGCCTAGTACTAGGCTTGATATAGACAGCAGTCTCCTGACATGCTCCTTCTACTTGAATCCCATGTAGCCCCAGAAGGAATGGTCTTAAAAGTCATAATTCAACCTATGCATTTTCTTGATACTGGCTCAATGCTAGTTTTGTACACACTAAAGCACTACAGGGAGACTAGTGTGCTGAGTCTTCTTGGCCAGTTCTCAGGCGGTGTGCTAGAGATTTCAGAGTAATCCTTGGCCAATACTAGTGGGGTGATGAGTCAGTGCCATGAGGGGCAAATAAGACTGGGTCAGAGTCCAGACTTTTAGTCTTCGGATTTAAAGCCTTTTCAAAAGCAGGCTAGAACCAGACTAGTTTGGGGGGGCTTAGGCTGCAGTACGCCAACAGAATTATCAAAGATGTCAGATAATCATCACTTCCCCAGTGCTATGCCAAGTAGTCCTACCATAGGAGCTCAGAATCATAAACACTGCTCTCCACACAACCAGTCAGTGAAAAGGCATATGAGATGAAGCCTAATTGTCACCTTTGACCTATATGTCATACATATTGTTGTGTGTTAGGCTTTCTTTTATGTATGCAATCCCAACTGGACTTGTGATCAAGGTCTCAGTGAAGAAGACTCCAGGGACGTTTGTGCCCTGGTACATGATATATCTGTTAAAGAAATTCAGTATCAATTTAGATTTAATTCTCTCCCCAGCAAGTCGGTACAAAAAGCATGGAGGAACCCACCTGTCACCTTGATATCCCCTGTGGCTTTGGCAATGTCATTTTCAATCATACACGAATAGGTGTTGTTGATCGTGACGTTGTAGAGCACAGATACAACCTTCATGGTCACATTCTCAGAGTTCAGCTCAAAGCTGGTGTTGGAGACTTCTGAGAAGTTGGCTCCCCCATCAACCTGAGATGCCCAGACCACTGTGGGCTGGGGGAACCATCGGGGAGCCTCACACCGCAAGGTCTCTGAGCTGGCATTATGGTCCACATTCACTTCTGGCATGCTGAAGGCTGCGGCGCCAAAGGACAAAAAGGGAAGATGTCAAGGTCAGACAGATAAAGCGATATAGCCTTTGAAGTGCTGCATCTTATAAACACTAGCAATCATTTCTAGCATTGAAGTGACTTAGTACCTCTCCAGGGAGCCGTCTGTGCATGGCCCATTGTATCTTGGATACAAATAATTATTTGCTCATAATAGTGCTATACATTATAACCCTTTGACCAATATTACAAACTCCAAAGATCTAAGCTCTAGATGTATTATTACAACACATCATTTTCTCCAAGTGAGAGGAGCTCCAGTGATCATTAAAAAAAGCTTATCCCTTCCGCGCTTTGGGAGGATGAGGTGAGTGGATTGCCTGAGCCTGCGGGTTCGAGACCCGCCTGGGCAACTTGGCGAGACCTCATCTCTACAATAAATCAAAAATTAGCCGGGCGTAGTCGCGCGTGCCTGTAGTTCCAGCCACTTGGAAGGCTGAGGCAGAAGGATCCCCGGAGCCCAGCAGGTCGAGGCTGCGGTGACTGGGAGCAGCCACTGCACTGCAGTCTGAGTGACAGAGTGAGACTCCAACTAAAAAAAAAAAAAAAAAAAAAAAAAAAAGCTTATCCCTTGGGGAAATGGGACATTTTCCCAAGGACCTGTGAAGATTTCTGGATGTTAAATATTTTTCTGCATGGAGATTAAAGTTTGGGTGGGGAGACGGAGAAAGAAGAAACAAACGGCATTCACCTGTCATCCACAGAAATTCCACCCAGAAGCCTTGTCATCATAGGGATTTGGGGTTTGCTTGGGTGGTGACTGTCCAGCCCTGGTATCCAGGGATAGAAAGAGGAATTTTTTTTCTTCTAAGATAATTATCCTCACTGGGGAGATAACTACATTTTGAAATTAAGACTAGTGTCTCCCTATATCTAGACAGAGAGACGTGGTGGAAAAATGTTAACACTTGGACTTTGTCTTAGGCCAAAATGGCAACATAGAATGTATTAATTTATTTAGCGTCTTCTTGTGCCCAGGACTGGACCAGTGCTGAGTGGTGAAAGGGAAAGCCTTGTCTTGCCTTTGATGAGTTTGTTATCTAGCTGGGAGACAAGACCCATGTGCTTGGAGCAGATGGGGAACAAGATCCTGGGAGATGATGTGGGAGACTAAGTGTCCGTGACCGTGACCCACCACCGTTGATTGAGGGCACGCTCTGTGCCAGCACTGTGTTCCAGACATTATTTCATTGGATCCTCACAATAATCTTATGGATGTTATTAGCATCCCGATTTTAAAAATAATTTTGAGCTTTGGAGTAATTTTGGATGTACAGAAAAGTTGCAAAGATAGTACAGAGAGCTATTGTCTACTCCTTACCCAGTCTCCTGTAATGCTCACATCTTTTTTTTTTTCTTGAGTAGGAGTCTCACTCTGTCACCCAG